GGAAGAGCTCGAAGAAGTGGCTGGGGAGAGGGAAGTCTGGGCTTCCCTCCTAAAGCTGCTGCCCCCGCGACCCGACCCCGGATAAGCGGTGGAAAATGGATGGATGGATGGGCCTGCAAGCAGGGTCTTCATAAAGGATACTCCTGAATCCTAATGACATTGCTTTATCTATTGGAATTTGCAGTTGTTTTTGAGGTGGATTAATATCAGAGATTTTTTTTTTCAGGGGCGGAGGGCTCCTATGAACCTGCAACGCTATTAAGTGCCCATATGCAAGGGATTTGTGTTACATTGTACAGTACTTGCAGTATCTAAAATCGGGTAATTGATTTGTCATTAATATGAGGATGGTTCATTTCAGAAGTGGGGGATAAAAATTGTTCAGGAGTAAACACATTTATGAGCAGATTATAATCCTCTTCGACTCAAAAAAAAAAAAAAGGCAACATGAAAGATGGTGCCGGCACGAGTGCCTGGGTTACGTGCGCCCTAGCATTGTCTTAGTTTTTGTAATATTTGTTCTTTTTTGGCGACCCCTATGCCACTTACTTGAGAGAAGACTTGCTCAGCATTAGGGAGTCTACTGTCTGTTTTTTTTCACCAACACACGCAAACCCACAAGGTTTGTGTGTCAGAGTTAACAGCTCGTGGGGCGGGTGCACTGTACGGAGCATGGAAACGCTTCCGGGAGAGGGGGAAGCGAGCCAGCGCGCTAGGCAAACATGGATTTCGATCCTCGCTCCCAACGATCCAGCTTGCCAATCTACGGTCTCTATCAAACATGATCGATGAACTTCTTCTTCTCACAAGGACCAACAAAACCTTACACGTTCTGCCGCGCTCTGCATCACCGAAACCTGGTTAGACGACTGCCACCCGGACACCATGCTGCACCTACCTGGCTTCCACCTCCTCCGAGCTGATCGTGAAATCAAAAGGTGGTGGAATATGTTTCTATGTCAACGAAGAATGGTGCACTGATGTTACGAAGCTCAATGCACACTGCAACCAGACTTGGAGTCGCTGTTTCTAAACTGTACGACATTCTACTCACCATGTGAGTTCTCCTCCTTTGTACTCGTGTTTACATCCCATCGCAAGCGAACGCTACAAACGCTAGCTGACCACGTTAACAAACTCGAGCGAAATTATCCAGAGTCACCCTATGTCATTTTGGGTGATTTTAATAGAGCACAACTAAACCCTGAACGTCCCGGATATAAGCAGCACATTGATTGTTTCACTAGAAAAGGCAACATTCTGGACCATTGCTCCATGACACTTAAAGATGCGTACCAATCTGTTGCCCACACAGCACTGGGCTTTTGTGACCACTGTTAAATACACTTAATCCCTACAGACAGACACAGACACAAATGTTTAAAACTGTTGTCAAGACTGTGAAGAGATGGACCGATGAAACAAAGCTGTCACTACAAGAATGCTTGGACTGCACCGACTGGGACATCTTTGAAACTTCAACTGGCACACTGGATGAATACACAGACACTGTAACATCATACATCAGTTTCTGTGAGGACGTGTGTGTACCAACGAAGTCTTTCCGCTCCTTCAACAATAACAAGCCATGGTTCACTCCCAAACTCAGACAACTCAGGAAAGAGAAAGAGGCCGCATTTAGAAGTGGAGATCTACAGTCAGTTCTACACGGCAGTCATCGAATCAATCCTGTGTTCTTCCATCACGGTTTGGTTTGGGGCCGCCACAAAAAAGGACAAAATCCGACTTCAACGGACAGTTAGGACGGCGGAAAAAATCATTGGCACCGCCCTACCCACTCTTGAGGACTTGCACACTGCAAGAATCAAGATTAGGGCACGGAAAATCCTCCTGGATCCCCCGCACCCTGCCCACCACCTTTTCCAGCTACTCCCCTCAGGCAGGCGCTAGAGATCCATGCGCACCAAATCCAGCAGACACTTAAACAGCTTCTTCCCTCTAGCCATTAACTCTCTAAACAGTCACTGACATAGTCACTCTTCTTGTTCAATGATTTTCTGCACCAACTGTACAAACTGTCATAGTATTGTATTCTACCACTGATCACTTTAGCTCTCCTTGATACTTTGCACATTGTCACTGGGTGGTCCCACCGCACTATGGTTCACTTACATTACAAAATGTCCTTCCATACCAATTTGTCATGTCCTTGTTTATGACGATACTAATGCAGCGTGTTGTACCGGAGACAAATTCCTTGTGTGTTCTACATACTTGGCCAATAAAGATGATTCTGATTCTGATTCTGATCCATTTCCCCACCTGGCGATGCCTGTCAGTGACGACAACTTTTACATTGAAGCCTTCCAACTCCTAACTGCATCTTTTCAGGCCCTCCAGTTCCATTCCATAGCTTCCCCCAGTCTCAGTACTCTAAAGGATAAGTTTAATACGCGTCATGAAACTAAAATAATTGGCATGTAATTATGCCGCATATAATGTACAAAGTAGTTCACTGCCTATGGGCTAGTCACACAGTTTTCCAAGAGCACGTGTCATGTTTATTCGTCAACAAAGCATCGCTGCCAACCTATTGTACTTCCAGAACAATTTGTCTGACTGCCATTATTACTCATCGCTGATATGAATAGCATCGATCGGGGTTTGCCTCGAGCTGAAAACTAACGTCGCTATCGCTAGCTTCTCCTGTTCAACGTTGCTAGCTTCTCGTGTTAGCTTTCGGCTAACGTCGCTACCTTCTACTGTTCATTCCACAAGAGTTGGCAGCTATTCTTTGACAAAATCATCAGCTCGTTTGCCTCGAGCTGAAAACTAACGTCGCTAGCTTCTGTTCAACGTTGCTAGCTTCTCGAGTTAGCTTTCGGCTGACGTCGCTATCTTCTACTGTTCATTCCACAAGAGTTGGCAGCTATGCTACTGTTCATTCCACAAGCGTTGGCAGCTATGCTTTGACAAAATCATCATCATCTATCCAAAAATCACACTTACTTTTTTGCAAATCCTTGATCATAAGCAGACCGGTTGAGAAAGCAGTTCATCTTTGAAGTGGAGAAGACTCGTCGATGATGGCGTGAAATTCATTCGCTTCGTGCGAATAAAATATGTCAATTTAAGTGCCCTGCTTTCCTTCGGCCACTGGTACAACTTTTCTGTCGATTGTGAACAATACATCGCCACACACAGCCGTGGCATCTTACCAACAAGCAATGCAACAATGCTGTTCAATGGAAGGACTTCCCTCGCAGTTCTCCATGTGACGTCATTTCCGAAGATTGCCGAAGATTGCCGAAGAAAAGCATTTTCGTTGTCAAGGGCGTTGCTATGGGTTAAACAAAGAATCTGGAAGGGTTGCGTTAAAAAAAAATAACGGAAATATGCTTATAATTGTTCAGCCATTGATATTATCAAAAACATGGTTGGCCAATTTTACTTCACACTTGGCCTGTAAGATGCCAATATCAATACCAATCAAGAATGATGGTTATCATCCGATATTGATACTGATACTGATCACATGGATTCGGTGGAGAATTTTTACTTTTAGAGGTTAAACTACAGATGTCCCATTTTTAACACCCGAGTCCGAGTGCGAGTTTTTGGTTTTAAGTATCTGCCGATATATACTCCCGATCCAATTCATCGGGCAACACATTAAGAAAAAAATAGCATTTATAGAATGAAACCACAGGTCAGATGTTTGAGATGTCACAAAACCAAAAGTATTAGCATCCCAGTCACTGTTCTGCTTCATGTTTCCTGACACAAAAAGCTATCTTTTTCCAGAGAATGTGAGAATTGCTTAAATTTCATAAAACGTAGCTATGTTCTACTGCTAATTACAAGAGAACGGAAAATTCAATTAATCTCTATTCATATAGCGCTTTCACAAGTGCTGCAGAAAGATAGATTTTTTTTTTTCTCGTGAAAGAAAAAAAAGTCTACTCTTTCTTCTGATAGATTTGATGTATACATAATTTATTTAACAACATATAATTATGATAAAAACTAGTCAAAATCCTGTAAAACGTCTGATACTGTCCGGATTGTCTTTGCAGAAAATGGCTGTACTTCAATGAGTTTAAAAAAATAAATAAATAAAAATAAGGAGTTGACTTACTTGCATATCTTCTTGACTTCCCTGATTTTTTCCTTGTCGATCTTCAGCTGTCCAGAAGTGGTAAGCTCCTCGACAAGCTCAGAGAGCCTGTCTCTCTGAGACAAATCCATCCCTAAACGTAACTCCTGTGTAGAGTAACAGAGAAGTTTAACAGCAGTCTTTCAAAGCAGCGTTTGCAGTTTACTTCACCCTACTCCTCACAACCTGTTTGTATAATTAGAGAGGTGACTTAAGATAGGTCGCTGTCTCGGTGTGACCTTTCCTCCTGGCTCAGCATCTTATCTCTGACACCCTTGGCATATATATAATTTCAGTTAAGACCGTAGAATCACACACAGTCCTTGTAGGTGGGTGGCCAAAAGTACTCGAGTGGGAATCTTGGGTGAGGGAGTAAGACCTCTTCCGCAATCTTGCAAGAAAGGCTCCATGGCTGTTCCCGATTTTTCTGGCATTCATTAACTAGGTCAGCTGAGAATATGCAATCTTCTGGTAGTTACGATTAGCATCGTGAGCATTTAAGATAAAAGAACTCAACTCAACTCAAATGTATTAAACAGCACTTGCTAAGAACTGTACATGGAACGTAAGTCACACAGCAGCAAAGACTGTTAAAACATTAAACTAATAACAAAAATAGCAAAAAGCACAAAAACAGTGAAACGGAGGCCAAGTTTCATGCTGAGTCACAAACCAAAGAATAAAGATGTGTTTGAAGACAAGTTTTAAATTTGGGCCGTGAGGGGACTTGCCGAACGTTTAGTAGGAGGTCATTCCGAAAAGAGGGACCAGGATTGGAAAAGACTCAATGCCCTCTGAGTCTTTCCCTAGTCCTTGGAACCCCTAATAGCATCTGGTTCACTGACCTCAGGCACCGGGCAGGTGCATAGGGAGCAAGATGGAGCAAGACCATTTAAACATTTGAAAACAAAGTATAGAATCATAAAAAGAACTCTACAATGTACAGGGAGCCAGTGAAGTGAGACCAGAGTAGGAGTTATGTTCCCTCTTACGAGTACGAGTCAAAAGGCAAGCAGCAGCATTTTGGACTAACTGAAGACGCTTGATGGAGGATTGGCTGACTCCAAAATAAAGTGCATTTCAGTAACAGGCAACATAGCTAGCTGTCTGTATGAAACAGAGAGCTCGATTCACCTGTTGGCTACTTTTTTGCAGCTGAATGTACTTATATTTTGAAACATGAATGGTATTTTTACTCTGGATAGTTGTATTTTATTGTATTCATCCATTTATTAATGTTTTTCCCATTTTGGACAGTTACAAAAAAAAAAATCAATATTTACCAATAACAGAAATACGTATAATGTAATACATTTATGAACTGCAGAAACATTTGCCAACCCTATTTTCCGACTTTATAGTGTTGAGCTTCACAGCTGAATTTGTATTCTTTGTGCTTCAGTGAATTTCTACCAACTACTAAAACATGGGAAGCTGTTAGTTTCATTTTGCATGTTTTGTTAGTTGATTATTTTGCATGTTTTGTTCCAAATTAATCAAAAATTCTAAGCCGTTTGTGTTTTATTTTGGTGTTTAAATTAGAACTGCAGATTGATTGTTCTGACATTTGTAAGAAATAAAAGAAAGGCCTTTCTTTAAAATCAATTGTTATTTGTTTGAAATTATTTGGATCAAAAATACTGTGATTGGCTGGCAACCAGTTAAGAGTGTACCTCATCTACTGCCCGAAGACACCTGGGATAGGCTCCAGCACATCTGCGACCCTAGCGAAGACAAAGCAGTTCAGAAAATGGATGGATGAATGGATTGATGAAAAACTCATTGTATTGGTTACTTGGTATCGCTATTGGTGAGTACTCGTATCGGTTTGAAAAAAATGGTATTGAGCATCCCAACTTCTGCCACGTTGCTTATTTCTGTGAGCATGCCTTATCTATTAAAAGAACAACCGTTACTCGCAGTCATAGTATGAATAACCCGTAATTGACAAGTAGGGTTGGGCAATACATTGTTATCAGATAGTCATAGAGATACGGCTGAAAATTGGCATCTATGCTAAGTTCAGCGCATTTACACTGTTCATTCTTGTGTTAATGCGCACTGTCCCTATGAAATAAATAAAATAAATGTACATTACAGATATTACCATTGAAATTAATATATTGTCAGTCACATGACCTTGACACGCTTGTGTTGCATGTAAAGCTCAGTACAACTAACCTCATTCATCCTTTCAAGTTTGACATTAATCGACAGCTAAAGCCAGCCAGTGACAATCGTCTTGGGGAAGGAAGAAAGGGTCGAAAATAGACATACAGTAAGGAGCCGCTGCTGGACAGCACACAAGTGAGAAATCCACTTTACTCCCTCTCATGTGATATTGCTTAATCTTTGTTTATTTGATTTTGTACAATCATTAAACAACACCAAATAAGTAACACTAATCAGTTAGTAAAATGTAATCTGGAAAAAATAATACATTTTAAGACAAAATACATTTCTATCAGATTTTCTGATTAATCAATCAGAGATGAAAGTGGACTTTTCTGAAAATTCCGGAAAAAATAAATAAAGAAATAAATAAATGTGTGTGTGTGTGTGTGTGTGTGTGTGTGTGTGTGCAAGATATGGCGAGGCCATGAGAATGCGAGGCGAGGGTATTACTGTTGTGGCGACTCCCCTCAAGCTAAGCGAGCCTCAGCAGTAGATAGTCCGCTGCTCTCTGCAGTGCGTGCTTCAGCGCGAACATGTACGCAAGCGCGTTTTTTGATTTCAACCAATCAGCGCCGACGCAAATGACGTCATACACGACAACAGCTAAACTAAGCCAGCCGAGACGACACTCGAAGTCGGACGGACACGATTTTCTGCCAATCTGTGTTTTTCCCTTTTTGGCCAAATATATTTTTTACGACAACTGTCTTGTTGACGGCGTCTTTTATTCGTTTTACTGGGGTTTAGCAGGTGTGTTTATAAAGAGACAAAAATTGTTTGGGGACTATCCCCCACGTTCTAGTTGAGATGGTATAACCCAAGAGGCAAAATGACGCTTGCTACTGTTGTTGCGAGTTGCCATTCGTTCAACTAAACCATTAGTCAAACGCCATCATGCCTTCTGTCGTTATTACACAAACAAAAATCTCTTTACTGTTACTAGTGTTAGTGCCTCAATATGGCTACGCTCGTGAAAGCAATACAACGAACTCAAACGCGTCTTCGTTCAATGTTGTCAACTAATATCCGGATTATGCAAATTTTCCTCAATTCTCCGGAGACATTTTCATAAAAAATTGAAAAACCCGGAATTCCGGGAAAATCCGGAGGACTTTCATCTCTGATCAATGAAATGAGCAATAATCTTTTCAAAAAAATATTCAATAATTCAATAGTGATAGCCCTACTTTGGAGTCACAGCAAAGTATATTTCACCTTACAAAGAATGTCCTACAAGGTTGCAAAATGCAGGAGGAAATGTAATAGTAGAGAATGTAATATTTATTCGGGTATTTGCAATGCACATTAACAATGTTTAGTTTTGACATGACAGAATTATTACAGAAATGGAGTTAAACACGCCAGAAAGTACTATATTTACAATGTATTCATGTTAAGTGAAGTCAAAAGACTGTATTTTATTTTGATTACGCACTTTAGTCTTACATATTACTGTTAACAATGCACTTCCAATACAGTAGTGGCAAAACCAGTTGTCATTTATAACTAATAAAGTAACTTCTACATCTAACTTAGTTACTTTAAAACTCAAATAATCGGTGGAGCAATTTATTTACGAGTTCACTGTGGGTGTGGCAACACTGCTCAGCATGACTCTTTTTCTTTATGCATTCATGTACAGTTTAGTTTGTTGAAGATCGATGTTGTAATGTAAGCTGCCGAGGCAAACATCGGTGTCCTTAACCAGTCAAAATACCAATCTAACAGTGGCTTTAAGGCAAATAAAAAACCGTAATCCACTCCACTTACCCGGTGACAGCTTCTTGGGATCTCAAACTCTTTCCGGATATCAGTTTATTCAGTTCAGTTTGAACGACCTTTAGCCAATCGTCAACCGTTTCCAACAGTTTCGATATGAATATTTTTTTGTTGTTCACTCCTTTCGCAAACCGACGTTCCTCATTTGTTTTCTTCTTGTTGTTCTCGGATTCTTGTTTTTGCCGAGGAACGTTCCTTTACGTTCCGAGCCGAGCGAGATGACACGGAAGTACTTGACGGACAGGTCATTAGACTGGAAGAATGCTCACGCAATGTGCCTCGGTGGTTATAACCTTGTCGTGGGTGGGTCTTCGAACTCTCATTCTTGTCCCCGAAATGTTGTCTCCAACTCGACTCAAGCAAGATGAACCGGAAGTACTTGGAGAATAGACGCGTTCGAATTCTTTCAACGCTTCGGAAAGGTGCTTGATTGCAACCTGCAACACGACATCCACGTAGTTAACAGACTACTCGTAGAAGCTCGAGTTTCACGCTCCATACTTAAAATATTCTGTGAAAAAAATTAATACAATGTTTTCTTTTTGTCACAAAATGGTTTTGAATGAGGCCAGTAGTTCAAAAGCAAACTTGGGGTTCCACGCAAACAAGAAATAAAAGTGTCAACACCTTTCCATAATTTATTTGAGAATGGACAATTCCAAAAGCAATGAAAAACATCATCAATGATCGCCTCACAAAAACAACAATTAGTATATGTCCTTTTCATTTTATTAAGCAGCAAATATTTTGCCGATAAATTCCGCAAGCTAAAAGACACCAGTTTGGAATTCTGTGTGAAGCGGTACCGTCCCTTCCGATAGAGGGCTCCGTCCTTTTTACTAAAATAGTAACGGTATCCCACAATTCCGTGCGTCGCACCATATTGGAGGGCTCGCTGATCGTGCAAGCATTTTTCACTACGCAGACTTCGACACGAAAGAGTTGTTTACTGACTAATTTGGTGATTTGTGAATGCACACGACATGGAGAAGTATGTTGAAACATTGGATAAGCAAACACATTAGTGATGGGACGATGATACCTCAAGGAGTGTATTGACCCACTTCACAAACTGTGTCAGCACTGGATTGACACTGTGTTGGTCATCCAATAGTGACCCCTGCAGTAGTTATAAAATCATTGCAGGTAAAGAAATTCCTTGTTTGTGTAAATGCTAAACTGAGTTGGTATGTAAAATATAGCAAATTTGCGTTACAATTCAGATTTTTAACTTATGTAGAAATTTTTTGTTAAATCATGTGAAATAAAAGACAAAAAAGTGATTAGTTTATGAATTTTTATTGAGGAACAAAAGTTTTTGGAGTGTCTTTGCCCCAAGGCGATTTCTCCTCTTAAGACACCAGCTCCCCAGCCTCAGAAAGTATTCTTTCACATGGTTCAGATGACGATAGTGAGAGGAGAGTTTTAAATGAAAGTTGATGCAGATGTGAAAATGTTTTCTAGTTCCATTTCCAATATTATAAAGCAGCGGTCCCCAAACTTTTTCCTGTGAGGGCCGCATAAGCTTTGCTTCTGTGATGGGGGGGGGGGGGGGGGGGGGCACC